GAAGGAAGAGTGGGGGAAGAAACTCTGAAAATAAAAACCAGTGACATTGCTTGGTGACAATTCAAGCAACTAAGTCTATAAATGCTTATTTTACTATAATTGGCATGTTTATGAAGAACTCTGAGAGAAAATGAGAATATACACAGAAACCTGACATAGAATAAGAGTTCAAAGAGAGTGACCCTAAGGAAATGACATTTTTGCTTAGTTCTAAAAAATACAGGTAAATTTATAAAGAGATAAGGAGAGGAAAACTGGAGGAGGACAGAGTTCTGGGTGCCCGGTGAAGAAAGTATTTCAAAAAAGAGGAGGTAATCCTTTATGCTAATGCTGAAGATATATCAGGAAAGTCAAGGACTCTGAGACTTGTCTATTGGGTTTAGTGACCTTGACAATAGAAGTTTTGGTAAAGTAGTAGGGGCCAGAGGATAATAGGAGAAGGTTTGAGAGAAGAGGAGAGGAATTTAAGCTTTCTGGGGGTTTTTCTATAAAGGCAAACAGAGAAATAAGGTGGTAGCTGAGTAGGAGTTTGCGGGGTAAGGAGAATTACTTTAAAGAAAAAGGTTGGAGATATTAAAGCATGTTTATGTGCTAATGGGAATGATTGAGTAGAAAGGGAAAAGTTGAAGTTGCAGGAGAAAGAAGAGAGGACTGCTCTAAGGGATGCCCTTGAGTAGGTCAGAGGGAATAGGATCCAATGAGCAACCAGTAATTTGGGATCTACCTAATGTCTAGCATCCTTTCACTCAAGCACAAAAATTTAATCAGTAGCTACCTACTCTGTATCAGTCATTGCTAGGAAGTCATAATAAAGATATGCAAAGACCAGTTGCTGCCAAAAAGTAGAAAAACCTATGTACACACCGATACAATATAGTATAATAATCATCATATATACTAAAGGCACCAGGAAGAAGCTAAGGGAGCCCAGAATAGTGAGCAGTGAATTCTGCCAAAGGGAATAGTAGCATTTGTATTATCATCCAAAATGCTTTTATTATCTAAAGTAAAAATTAGTTTATTTTCAAGCAGTTCTGCACACTACTGTCTATTAAAACATGACAATTTTGTGTTAACATAGTAATTTAGATAGGCAGTATAAAGCAATTCATTATTGTCTGTACTCTTTAAATTATATTTTGTGTTCCATTTGTTTAATTGTAGCTGGATGTAGCTAACAAATTTTTGCAAATCTACTTGCCATCAATTTCAGAATAAAATTCAAACAAAATCCAAAAATATTTATCTTTCATCTTCACCACATGTATTAGAATAGTAGGAAACAGTGCACAATTCCTGCCTCTGTGGAGTTGCCACTTAGAAAGATCGAGATGTGCAACAAATAAGAAAAGCCGAATAACAAAATAATGGTTATACTATGAAGCACTAGCACAGGGATATGACACGTCTTATAGAATGCCAAATGAATTCTACAATTAATAAGTGCTTCATGCTTAGAGGAATAAAAGATAACTAAGTGAAGTTGTCAGTAAAATTATTTAAGTGGGTTCTAATCCTTGTTTTCTTGATATTCTTGACTGTTATTATTAATTTCCATCATAAATTAGTATCCTTAACTTCACCACTTCAAAAACTAACATGACATGTCTTAAAATTTTTCAGATTATTTTTCAGTGATTCTATGATTAATTTATGTTTGTTTACATAGGAATGAATCAAATGTATTTGATTTTATTAAATCAGTCATTTTGTATTAAAGCCTTAAAAAGTCATATGAACATAAAAATAGTTTGCATGTATTAATATTAGTGTATATTTGATTTGAGTCTACCTATAATGCTTATAGTATACTTAGCTTTGGTGTTTTGCTTTTTACCAACAGCACTACAGCATCAAACCATAAGTTCTTTTTCCATTTGAACTTTGCTTTCTTGTGAACTTAAAAGGCAGCTACATACATGTAGTAGCAAATATATTTCCAAAATGCAATCTATGATCTGTGTATATGGAATCAGAAATAATTTAAGCCGTGGTCTATTTTTCAGTCTGCCAAGAGCTACTGTCTATATAAGAAATTTACCACATATTATTAGTTTAACTGTTTTTTAAAGTCTGTTTAAATATTTTTGCACAATAAAAATATATTTAAAAATCAATACTTAATAAGCAACATTATTTGTCATACCTAAATCAATAATACTTTACTTTTAAAAATACTTATTTTTATTTGCATTGCCAAATTTATAGTTTTACAACTAATAAAAGCAAAGCAAAACCCTGATGTTCTCCAAAAGTAAATTTCAATTAAGGCTTTTTATCTCAGTTTTTTCCTAATTCAATATGTTTTCTTTCAATTTTATATTAGTAATATACAGTATAACTCTTAAAAAAATTACCTCTGGAAAAATCATTGTTAAAATCTTCAACAAAATGGTTTCTTTGGTTGATGGACCAATCAGACATATCAAGGGCTAATTATATGCTTCAATGATTTGGCTCTATTAGAATCTCAGAGATGACCCAACATACAATGAACACAATTATGTATTTCATCTTCTGTTTGTAAACATGTTTTTCTGTTGTATTTGTGCACATATATTTGACTCCAAACAATCAATCAGTTCTTTGAAAAGTATCAAACTAGCTTCATATATATAACATATAGAGCAAGTAAAACAATTAACTGCTTATTTATTGGATTTTTCACTTTTCAGAAGATTTTCTTAGTAGAAATAGTGCTAGATCTGTTAACTGCTTTGGTTTCAGTTTCCATACTGAAATGAAGTTTATTTTTAAAACCTGGCTCTAAATAAATAAGTCTTAGATATTTTGAAAATATTTTATTCGTAACATTGAAAATCTGAAGGACTGATTCTGCAAAGGAGTCAAGTAGACATGACAAAAGGAGACCTTTCCTCAAACCCTTTCCCCACCATTGATGGGCAGAATATATTAACCTGGGTCATCTCATCCAAATTCCCTCTGTAAATGACCAAAGATTTACTCCTGGAGAATTTGGGGGATCTTAGGTGACGGTTTTTATGTTGTTCACACCTTGAAAGGAAGCCATTAAATAAAAACAACATTTTTGGCTCATTAATATATTTATCATGCTAGTTCATCCTCAGAATTTAAAAGAGCTTAGCAAAACATACTAAATAAACTGCATCAGTTTACATAATAAAAGGTCATAAGGTAGATACATTTTCCTTAAGAACAAAATTTAATGTCTCCTAATATAATTTTAAATACAGGAAATTGTGGGAATAGAAGGTGACCAAGATGCTGAAAAGTGGTAAGATATATAGATAAAAGGAAAAAAAACATAATTGGACTTAGAGCACCATAAGGAGTATGCTAGAATACAGAAGGTAGTAGTTGGAAAGTGGAATAGTTTGAGGAATTGCAGCCTTGCAGATGACAAGATGGAAAGTGGAATAGTTTGAGGAATTGCAGCCTTGCAGATGACAAGCCTTGCATATGACCACAGGAATGGGTATAGGAGAGAACCTCAGGAAACTGAGAGGCCAGAATATCAGAGGGTGAATATTGAAAGTCACCAAGAATTACGTTAGAAGTGATGTTGGAGTGCCTGGGCTTGAATGCTGGTACTGTGCACTTACCAGCTGTGTATCCTTGGGCAAGTTACAAAACCTGTCTTCGTTTCCTCATCTGGTAAAATGAAGATAATGACAGTATATTTCTCATAATTATTAGGATAAACAATTTAATGCTTATAAAACTCTAGATAGTATTTGGTATATGGTAAATGATATATAAATGTTTATACTGTTATCATGATCATAATAACATCATTACTTTTATGATCCATTCTTGTGTGAGTCTCTGCTTTGCATTCATTAGAAATGTATTAAACAGCTATCTCATGCCAGGCATTGTGCTAGGTATCCTTTTAAAACTTCTGAATGATTTTCTTTGACTGTTTATGCTCCAGAAACTTCAAGTTGAACAAAAATGATACACTGAAGACTCACCAAAAAGTTAGTCTTGAAGTCTTTGCCATGAGTTCTTCTTGCTAATGTGAAATGCTATTTAGTAAGACTACAGACTCAGGAGGAGATGGGACAGGCCAAAATAGTGATTACTTTGATCTGTAAACTACACATGCTCACTGTAGCAAAAGAGATGCTTAAGGGTAGATCGAGCTATAGACCATGAAAGAGAATCTAGCCTTATTGCTGAGGCATAGTAGTATCCAAAACATATGGTGATAAGAGTTAGAAAGCATAAAAATAAGAAGTTAGCCTTGTGGTGTTTCAACATAAAACAATGTGTTCATGTCCTAGTAGTTAGGTTTAAACACATGGGGCTAACACCTTGGAGGTTGGTTATCAAGATATAGATACTTGGGCATTAGAAAATAAGATAGATATCCAGTTATTGAAAATGAAGTAAGTAGCCGGGCTCGGTGGCTCAGCCTGTAATCCCGTGCCTTTGGGAGGCTGAGGTGAGTGGATTGCCTGAGCCCGCGGGTTCGAGACCCGCCTGGGCAGCGAGACCTCATCTCTACAATAAATCAAAAAATCAGCTGGGTGTGGTAGCGCATGCCTGTAATTCCGGCTACTCAGAAGGCTGAGGTGAAAGAATCGCCGGAGCCCAGCAGGTCTAGGTTGCGGTGGCCGGAAGCGGCCACTGCACTCCAGTCTGGGCGACAGAGTGAGACTCCAACTCAAAAAAAAAAAAAAGAAAGAAAGAAAGAAAATGAAGTAAGTTACTTGAATAATTATCCTCTTTGTAAAGGACCATACTTTTAAAGTCTGGGGCTGCTAAGAGAGCTAACCTAGGCTATTCTTTATTATTTATAAAAAGTGCCTTCAGTTTGCATTATCACCTGGCCAATTGCCACAGGCAGTTTCACCTTCTGGCTCAAAACACACATTTTCTCCATCTACACAGATGCCAACCATAATGTTGCATAAGTGAGTGTGTTTTGTATACTTTAGCTAAAACTCAGTGTAAGTTTGAGCAGACATGGGGAAGAAAAACAATGTGATGTGAACTTTGTTCTCTGTGTTTAGGCAAGCTTCGACCTATATCTATGCCAGTGGAATATAATTGGGTGGGGGACTATGAAGATCCAAATAAGATGAAGAGAGATAGTAGAAGAGGTAAGTGTTCTAGAATTTCAGTGTAGGCTGAGTTTTTTGAACAATAAGCAAATTTAAATGTTCTTTAAGTAGATTGTTATGGCTTCAGTGGAAAACGTATTCTATCATTGACTTTACTGTACAGCAAAAACCAAACCAGACCGATGTTTGACTATCTAGACTTATTAAATAGCTATCTTCCCTGAATGACTTCTAAGGGATTCAGGATAGATAAGTACAATGTGAAAAGTGAATATCTGATTGTTATTTGAAGGTGAATATTGGAAAACAAAGTCAGAAGTGTGAAACTGCATAAAAAATTAAGTTCAGTGAATAGGAACAGTTTGTCATCAGTCCCCATTGGTCCGCCATGCAACCTCACTACTTTTGTATTGAAATAGCTTCAAAATGAGCATTGAAGCACTTGGGTAAAAGTGGATGTAAACTGGGCCATTGACTCTAAGGACAACCATTTAGAAATGGAAAAAAGATTCTTTGCTTTTTTTCTGTTCTGTTTGTTGTTCAGGGTTATCTTTTTATGTGGGGGTGGGCTACTCTTGAAGTATCTACCAAAAGTAAGTCTTTATATTCATTTATCCTGCTATTGAGATGAGCAGTAAAGAGAGCAACTGAAAGTTTCACTAATAAACAGGATTTGACCAAATGTGGGTATGGTGTGCCCAGTGAGTCATATAGAAAGCTTCAAGATTATAGATGAAAAACAAAACAAAACTATTCATAGAGCCTAAGCTCACTAAGCTTCCTTCATATGTTTGAACTGTTTGCCTGTTATTTCTAGTCAGTGTACAGATTTTATTTCAATACCGCACAGATCCACAGACCACATCAACAAGCAAGCATGAATATCTGTTTTATTAGTCTTCTTAACACTTGTTTTATGGAGTGAGCATAGGAACATTGACACATTTCTTCGCATCTATGTATTCATTCCATTTTCCAAGCTTCAATTTCTAATCTCGTTTGTTTTATAGAATAAACCAAGAAAAAATAAGAGAAATGCTTATCATATGCTATCTCTGAGTCACTCTTTTCAGACTTTATTGTATAGTGACATCTTGGGGAGGAGGGAAAGCCATATGAAGTACTGAGTGCTGGCTATCAATTTAAGCATAGATTTCCTCAACTAAGTTTCCTGACCCTTGGTTCATAATGAAGACTTTAACTTTTCCACTCATGCTACCTAGCATGCTACAGGCCAGTGTTTGTTATCAGGCTTTAGCAGAATCCTCCTGAGGGAGCTTGCTAAAATTTCATGAACTACACACCCAAAACTTCTGATTCAAGCTCCACAGATGATTCTAATATAGTTGGTCCAGAGATAAAACTTGAAATAATTTATAGGCTGTCAATTTTTAATTTTTCTATGATTCCTAATAGTTAAGATGTGCTAAATATTACTACATATGTTATAAATTAATCAAGTTAAAGTTCTGAATGACATCTGATAGCACAATTGAGAAAGAATGGCAAATTTGGGATATTTGCATATTTATATTAGTATATTTATCTCTTTTTGTGTAGAAAACTCTCTACTTCGATATATGAGCAATGAAAAAATTGCTCAAGAAGAATACATGTTTCAGAGAAACAGCAAAAAAGACACAGGGAAGAAGTCAAAAAAGAAGGGTGATAAGAGTAATAGTCCAACTCACTATTCATTGCTACCTAGTTTACAAATGGATGCATTGAGACAAGACATCATGGGTACTCCTGTGCCAGAGACCACACTATACCATGTAAGTAAACTTTCAAAGACTCTTTGACACAGCTCTTATGGGGAGACTGGCAAATAACTCTTTGGGGTAAATTCTAGATTATTTTTATCATATTGCCAGATTTTAACAATGGAGTCTAACTTTAAAGTTTATGCCTTTAAAAAAATGATGGGTTATTGTTTTATTTTTCACTTCATGTGTTCAATGAGTTCATATGTGTAGCAAGTTGGATTTTTAATGAGATAACTTACTATGCACAAAATTGGTGGAGAACAATAATTAATAGCTGATTAATCACTGGTATGATAATATATAGTAAATGAATAGTTTTAAAATTCAACATTAAAGATATAATTTTAATATATTTGTGATTACATTTAAAAATGAGCATCTACTGTGTGCTAGGTATGGTGTGCCGTGCTATAGGTAAATATAGGAAGACATGGCACACCGTTATATGGGGGGAAAGACATGCTGAGAGTCCCAGTACAATTTAACTGTTGTAATTAGTGGATATAGAAAGTATAGGAGGAGAAAGAAGGCCTTAGCCTTCAGAGGAAATGATAAAAGTCTTCAGAGTGGGGAGCATTTGAAGAGTAAAAGATGAGTAGCAGCATTTTAAGTGGGAAGGCATATATGCAGGTACACCACAAATGTGTGAGAATATGGTATGTTCCAGGGACTTCATGTGGCTCAGAATTGCTGGCTTATTGACAACTGAGAGAAATCATGTGAGGAAGGCGTTGTAGATGGGCCTAGAGATATAAGCAGGGGTTAGACTAGGGATTTTATAGTGAAGTACTTAGGCTCTTTCCTGCAGTAATAAAGAGCTGTTGAAGAATTTTGATCTTAGAATTTGCATAATCAGATTGGTCTGTTGGATCTCTCTAGTGTAGAACATCATTTGAGAGGTCAAAATTAGGGCCATTAAGTCCAGGCCCAAATGGATGATGAGAAACTAAGACAGTGACCCTGGAGGCTGAGAATCTTCTTAGTAAGAACATTTGATTCACAAAATTCACTCATTTTAAGCTATTTTGGTTAAAGGGAATTTCTTGTGCCTGTAGAACTGTAGCTATTTTTAGTTTTTGCTTATTTTTTTATTAAAAAGATGTGGGGTACAATTCAGGGTTAGGTATACAAACCTTGATTATGCAGGTACCATGCAAATCAGAACTATATCTTCTTATTAGGAGCCCTTGAAAAACATGAACTACAAGTTGTTAAGTAATTTGAACAACTGTATTTAATACTGAAAATATCAAAAAAATTTAATATGCTCCTGCTGTAGGAGGTGTACCATCTAGGTATATAAGGTATGAAAGATATAACTTATACTTGGGTTGTTTCTCTGAGTAACTCTTAAATTATATGCTTATTTTATATCTCTCTAATAAAACTAGAGTGCAGAAAAATATTTTTATTTGGATTGAAGTGTCATTAGCAGTCCTAGGTTCCTCATTCTCTATTCTTCACTGTTCCTAGTTATATACTCCCAAACCTCTTCCTCTCCAAGAGACTAGTGCCCATATCAAAACCTGCTCCATTAAATGACTGAAAAATTATTATTTTTTCTACAGACACTTGGAGTCAATCTGAAATCAATACTCTTAGCTGTAAAGGAGCCGCTTTTGTTATTACCACTAGTCAGAAAAGCTGTATGAACACTGAGCTTCCTCTAGAATCTGGTATTTCAGTCACAAGTAATAGCCTGAACAAAGGCTTGAAGATGAGGGACAGCTGGCCTATTCAAGAGGGAAGTTGGTAATGAAAGATGAAGCCGGAGAGGGAAGAGACCACTTCAACTTAGAGCATATAAACTATTAAAGAGTTTAGATTGATCCTGAGAGAAGTGGTGAGCCATTGAAGGCACATTTAGATACTCAGCCAGTTCCATTCTGTCACACACATCTGGACAGGTGTATACTGTGTGGGGAAGGAAAAATAGATGTCCTGTGGATTTTAAGTTATTAAATTAGGGAAGACAGGAAAAGGTGAGTCAAACTGGTAATCAGGAATATTGGGAGTATTGTCAAGGAGTATAAATTGTTACCACCTTCTGAAGGGCATTATTTAGTTGTGTATATCAAGAACCTAGTCTAGTAACTTCACTTCTAGAAATTTATTCTAAGAAAGAAATCAGAGACTCCACGTTTGCCTCCTACTTTTATTGTGTGTCCTGAATCTGTAACATATTTCCCAAATACATGGCATCTATTCCAACTAATTTTTGACAGAGGGACAACACAGAGTAAGGAATATTGTTGACCTTGGGGGAGATCCTTTCTTGTAACATGGATCCATCAATTCCAGAGTAGAAGACTATGTACTTTCTGCCTTTGTTCTCGGGTTTAGAAGAAGCCAAATAATTATTAACTCCCAAGTACGTGTTGGATGTCTATAACCAGTGTCCAAAAAGAGAGAACTTTCACTGGTGGGTTTTTCATGAGACTCTTAATTCCCTTGTGAATTTCACGTTGCACTTATTTAGTACTTTCACAGTCATCAAGGGAGTTTCCACATTTGTATTGTCTTTTAAACCTCAGAAGAACCCTATTTGCCAATGAAAAAACTCAAACTCAGAAAGGTTAAATGATTTGCACAAAGCTGTGTTGCAAATAAATTTAAGTGCTGTTGTCAGGACTAAAATCCAAATCACCTACTCCAAGGATCCTTCCACACTTGACCCTATTGTTTCATACATGGTAGACATTTCATATACAGAAGAATTTGTGCTTTAGTGAATAAATAGGTGCATTTTGGAAAAGTTCAACTTGAAAAAACATGTGCAATCATATGTTGATGTTAATAATATTTTCAGTGCCTGGATTGATTTCTACCTAAATTTTCTCTAGCTTTATGTTACTGGTTTCTTTTTAAGATAGGGAAAGCATACAGAGCTGGCTGCTGTGATAAAACACAAGTAGTTACTTAGCATCCTCTATTGATGGGACTACAGAATACTGTACTTAAAAATGTTTGGACCTTGAAGACAAAACAACGTACATTTAAATAATAGCTTTTTATATTTCACAAGAATTTTTGTTTTTTTAAATCTGTTTATACACACTTAGTTTAAAATAAAAGGATTTTTGCTTATGCAGAATTTTCATGAAAATACAAGATCAGTATCAGTATGTCATCTAATCACCTTGATGACGACCACTAGTCTTCATTTTTTACCAACTACTCCTTTGCATCACATGGCCATTCCAAATTGAATAGGACTTAAGTAGAAGAGGACTGTGAAGGTTGAGTATTGATTTTCATGGCTATTTCTGCTGTAGTATTAGCTCCATGGAGTCTAAAGACTTTGAATTCAGATTTAGAGAAAATTTCATATGAATTTAATAGCAAGATAATATCAGCATTAAATCCCCTTAAACAACAAACAAAATGGGTGTGTGTGTGTGTGTGTGTGTGTGTGTGTGTGTGTGTGTGTGTGTGTGTGTGAGAAGTGTTCCTTATAAGCAATCCTAGATTATAATCCCCATTGGTCTGTTTTGGAAAGCAGGCCAATAAAAATATACAAAATAAGGCAAATGTTTGGCTTCAGTTTTGACTCATTTCTCTTAGCAGTTTTAGCAGAAATGTTTATATAATAATGAAGATTTAGAAGTTTGTGAGATTGTAAAATATACATTTTTTTATTAATTCTGCATATCTGGTATTCCAGCTTATATATTTTTCTTAACCTTATTTTGAAGGAAATCATTCACTATGCTGTAGCTATCTAATCATTTGCCAGCTTTTTTCTACCTTTCTCCTTTTCAACTATTCCCTCTACTGAGGATGCTTTTACCCCTTCTTCCCTCCATTAACTCCTATTTAAACCTGAAATAACTGAGAGTCCTTCCCTGACCACTATCCTCTGATCTAAGTCAGTTCTCCTGTTATATTCTCTTATCATTCAGTACTTTTTCTTTAAAACCTTTGTTGTTATTTTTAATTGCACATTTATTTATGTGCTTAGTGTCTTTCTTTGCTGTACATGCCAGGACAGGTATATCTATGTCCATGGTGAACACCTGCAGTTTCTCCATTTTGTTCACTGTATTTTGGCACCTAATATGAATTTAGTACCTTGTAAGTTCTCAATGAAAATGTGAAGAATAAGTGAATGAACAAGTCAGTGAGTGAATGTGACAGGAACTTCAGTGCCTTTCTCAGTATCTTCAACCTGTACACAGCACCTTTTCCATCTTGCAGCCCCACAGGGCCAGCAATGCAACAGGACTAGCTCCCTCACAGCTCTCACCCCACCTCTTTCACTCCTGCTCAGAACTTCAGTGCCAGGTAGTTTTTGCTTACCTCCTTCTCTGCCATCTTTTTAGAGAGGTCCCAATATGCCCATCAGTCAAATATGTTGTATTTTTCAAAAGAACATAGCTTTATTTTACCTGCTCACTGATTCTGTCTAGAAATGTAGAAGTTTTAGCTACCAAGGCTTTAACTGACCTGAGTATATATGAAGAAAAGACAGACAGCAATGTGTGTATGCGTGTCTGTGCATGTGTAAACATATATGTGTGTGAAATTCAAATGTAGTAAGAAAAGTCTTTAGTCAGACAAAGAATGATTGAATTGTTCTGAATCTAATCTGTAGATCTTATAGGACTTATTTTTTCTTACTGTGATATGCACATAACAACTTGCTCTCATATTAAAGCTGCTAAATTAACCCATATACAAAATAATCATTTATTTTAAATCTACACGCTGAAATACCAGAATAAGTAAAATTTGATTATGGATCTAGGCAGCATGCATGTATACTTTCGTAAACTGAATGCAAAAGTGATGTTACATAGTTTATTAAAAACAGACTTTGAGTAGGTGTTTAAAAATCTGGATAATTTCTTTCATGACATTTCAACATTTGTATGGCTTGTCTTCACTTTTTAGGATATAACTATAAACATTTAGTTGTTGTTTTATTTCTCATAAGTGCTTTTAGCCGTTCTGGTCAATTTGTGAGGTATTTTGGGGTTTTTTTCGTTTTTTGATAGAGGGAAGAGGGG